TACCTCCTCATTAAGGAAGAACAAAGACACGGCAATAAGTAAATAGCAGAGAATAGGCATGAAAATCTCCACAAGTAAAAATGTCATTCAACTTAATAGAGAAGTCATTTAACATCTCTTAGATTCACTTCTGAACTTTTATGTATTCCATCCATCCTAGCTGTTTTATCAGTTGTAGTTTCACATTGTAAGCTTTTATCTTGCTTACACACTGACAATATTACCAGTTAATAAGACTTGAGGTTGTGAAGGACGTATGAACATCCTAAAGAACCATATCAGTCTTTTGACAGTACTTAGAGCTCTGTACTCAGTGAAACATGGCCTTTAAAAGTGAAAGAAACACCATTTAAAAATGGACTGTACTTGAAATAACAAAGGTGAAAACTTTGGTTGTTGCTATATATTCTGGTCCTCCATCAAGCCTGACCCTTTAGTGCATTTTGATATTTCTGGCTGTTTGGAGACAAAGTCTAAGCATACATACATTGTAGAGGCAGTTGACACACTGTGAGTAAGCAGCGGAATAGAGGGTTTGTGTCAACTACAGCCCCAACAAAGGCAATACAGCATATGCATATAGGGTAGCCTTCCTATAGCACACAAAGTCCTCAGCTGGTGAAACCAAACTGCAAACCACTTCTCTTCAGATAGCAACACCTAAAAATAACTTTGCAAGGGCATCATCTTATGTGGAATGCTCAAAGAATGCTTTATGTTTAACACAACACTCACTACAGTCTATTTCTTGGTTGCTGCCTTATACCCACTCACGTAGAATGTACCCAGGAGGAGTTATATACAGACAATGCAAAGGGAAAATGAGGGTTGTATTTACTCTTGACTCACTTTGGATTACAAATAAAAATATATTGTCCTGAAATTGATACCAGAAACAAGGTATGGGGGCTTGCTTCATGTGACTCCAAATTCCTGGATGCAGGTGTCGCAGTGGATATAGTTTTTCTGGACTTAAGGAAGGCCTTCATAGATTTCATAGATATTAGGGCTGGAAGGGACCTCGAAAGATCATCGAGTCCAGCCCCCTGCCCAAAGGGCAGGAAGTCAGCTGGGGTCATAGGATCCCAGCAAGATAAGCATCCAGTTTCATCTTGAAGGTGTTCAATGAAGGCGCTTGAACCACCTCCGGTGGCAGGCTGTTCCAGACCTTGGGGGCTCGGACAGTAAAGAAATTCTTCCTTATGTCCAGCCTGAAGCGGTCTTGTAGTAGTTTATGACCATTCGACCTAGTCGTCATCCCTTGGGGCGCTTTGGTGAACAAACATTCCCCCAGATACTGGTGGTCACCCCTGATAAACTTATAGGTGGCCATCAGATCACCCCTGAGCCTGCGCTTTTCCAGGCTAAAGAGCCCCAGGGCTCTCAGCCTGTCATCGTAGGGTCTGCTTCCCTGACCTCTGATCATGCGCGTGGCTCTTCTCTGGACTCTCTCAAGCTTCTCCACATCCTTTTTGAATTGTGGAGCCCAAAACTGGACGCAGTACTCCAGCTGTGGCCTCACTAAGGCTGAGTACAAGGGGAGAATGATATCCCGGGATTTGCTTGAGAAGCATCTATGGATGCAAGCCAGCATTTTGGT